CTTGCTGCAAAATTATGGGATTTACTTCCCCCTCTTCAATTTCTCTATTTTTTCTTAACACAACTCTTCAGTGTTCTACAGTACAGCCCTGCAACTGTAAATTCAGTTTGGACCACATTTGCACTTGTAACACAGAATTAGGTCTTTGAAAACCCTTCTTGGGGTTTACCAAACCTCTTTGATGTTTTCACCTTGTCCACATAAATGAAATCTTTATTAAAGAGAAGGGTGATTAAGGCCATTTTCATAAAATGATAACGAGTTCCTGACAGATTTACTTTCCTTCCAGGCAACTTTCCAACAAAAGTCAACAGTTAACAAGAATTCTATATCTGAATTCATGTTGGAGGATGTAACTCACTAATTAAGTGTTCCTTAAACATTTCAAGGAACATTCAGACTTCCTGACTGATCCACTCCAAGCACTGCTTGATAAAGAGATACTACACTTGAGTGTAGCTGAATAAAACTGAGGTCTCTTTTCTTTCTCAGGCACCCTCAATCCAAGGTCTAGCATCCTATTCCACAGTAAAGCCTACCTTGAAAATGAAGTAAGTCATTTTCGCAGGAACGTCCAACATTTTAAGATGCATTTCTAAATTCTGTGCCTTGTCAATCCTTCAATTTATTCACATGTAAATAGAAATGCTCAAGTACCTGCATACTCTGTTACTCTGATAAAACACACTTTTTATTAAAAAGAACTTAAACCAGCAGGATGCTACTCTTTGATGAATTAACACAGCAGAATGGACTTCAGCAGTGCTGTTGCCATGTTCCTCATAACTTGTCCACAATCCCCTGGATTTAAGTGTCTAGAAATCTTCACATTCATTCCCCAAGCACAGGTATGTCCCAAACACTTCAGAGAATCAGCATAAAGGAATTTTCTGCTCCCTAACACAGCTGTACCAAAAGGTTTTATTTATTCAAACTGGGCTGCTACAACTGCAGGCACACAATCCCTAACTGATAATTTGTGAATATTCACCTACCTACAAAGGTCACAAGTCTTTAATCAAGATTATCAAACCAGACAAGGGCTGCAGCAGTGCCATGCCTAAGCAGAGATCTAATCTAAGTACTGAATAACCAGGCTCTTCTCTCAGGAGCTCTCCCAGGAATCACTCTAGTGATGCCTCTTGGAGCCCCAAATCTGTGGAACAGGGGTTTTGGGTCTCTCCTGCCCTGGACAACCATGTCAGGGCAACAGATCCAGATGTCTTATACACTTACACTCAATTCACTCATGCAATGGAGTTTCTCTAGGACAGCCCTAACAAAACTCAGGTATTATATAAAAGAGTTCAGTATGATCAAGTCCATTATAATAAAACCACAAGATGATTCAAATAAGTTCCTACAGGTGCCAGATATCTGCCATCATGTTTGGATAAAATCAGGAATATCTTACTCCTTGCTGAGCTTCTAATCCTGCCTCCTCAGAATATGTCAAAACTGATAATCATGGCAGACATTTACACTTGATATCTTTATTTTCCCAGGAGCATCAACATCTACAAATTGCAGTTCTAGCTGTTGTCTCCCTCTCCTGAACTGCCCTTTGTATCCGTTCATCCCCCACAGTCATCCTCACCTCCCCCAACACATTGACACAGGGGAGTTTTAAAAGGAAATCAGAATGAAGTACATTGCACAGAAGGGAGATTTATTTTAGCATTTTAGCATAGGCACATAAGAAACATTGAGAGAACTACTTGAATGCAAGAATGAAAGTCAGATTGGCTTTTATGCAAGTTGAGATATTTCAAGTCAAATAATTTCAAATCAATTTTTTTAAATGCTGAGTTGAGGTAGCACAGTGTCTTTGTAGTCAAAAATTGCAGAAACTCAATTATTTTGTAGGACATTTTACACTGATCTGTGAGTACCCAAGATTACAGCAAAAAATGGTCTACTTAGAAATTGTGGCATAGTGCAACCCAACACCTTCAAAATAATCCATACAGATAGTTCTTTGAAAGGAAATAATATCTCATCAGCACAGAGGGAGTATTGATCTGCTAAATGGCAAAATACAGCATCTTCCTAACCTTTCACCTTCACTCCTGTCACTAGAGTATATATCCAGAATATATTTTATAAAGTGTTTTTTTCCTTCTCTTTTTGTTCCACATGATCAACACAACGCTTACTGTAATAGCAACAAAACAACCCATGCATCAAATTCTGACAGAAAACAACCTGGTTGTTTCAGACCAGACCATCAGAAAAATCTATGAAAATTCAGACCATCAGAAAAATCTATGGGGAAACAAAAAAATATAAAATGCTTTTTTCATGAAAGGAAATACAGACTGCATATCATGAAATGAACAATGCATGAAAATAACGCTCAATTACCAACCCCATGCAACTCTAAAAATCCAAAGTAGCAGAGAGCAAAAATACTTTATAAAAGGAGGCCAAATTACACCCAAAGAAATCTGAAAACTCTCACAATTCTTCTGTAAGTTGCCTCTTTAAAAAGCAGAGCACATAGAGGACACTTATTTCAACCAGATAAATTTGCACTGCACGACAGTTTGTAATTTCAGATAAAATGCCCAAGTTTATAAGGCTGCTCCTGTCTGACTGCAGCCCTGCCTTATGTAATAACCTTCATGTGATTCAGCACTCTCCAGTTTCCCAGATCTCTCAAGGCAGCACCCCTCACAGCTCACAAATACCATCCTTCCTTCACACCCTTCTCTCTCTTCCTTCCTTTACTATCACGAATTCCAACAACTCAACTGATGACATCCAGCCCTGTAAAAACTAAAAAAAGAAAAAAAAAACTTTTCAAAAATTCCACAACACTAAAATAAGGAAATTTGACTGAGTTTTTTGCCATCTGTATCTCTTTGGGACAAAAAAAAAAAATCACAAAGTAGAACAAAACAGCATAAAAGTGTGACCAAAAATACACCATAAACTTGCTATTCCTGACTAAATGGTTTCTTACAGATACAGGGCATTAAGGATGACAAGAAAAAATAAATCCTCTCAGTTGGAGGGAGGAGGGGAAGGTCTTTCTCTAGACCCAATCCAGGCAGCTTCCCACTGCCAACTCCAGAATAGCTTCAGCATCCATTAATAAGATGAAATATGATCCACCTGTGATTTTTACCACTTTCAGTAAAAAAGTTATTAGCTGAAAAATGGTTTTGGACTTTTTCAGGCTCTTTTTCATGAATATCAAAATCAACAAAATCTCCCAAGATTATGGGAAAAGAACCACTTTGGGCTACACATTTTTAAGGAAGCTCACAATGAGATCCTTCCCAGGAGAGGCCAAGAAAGGAAGAAAAATTACTGGGTTTTGGTTTCTTCTTCTTTTTGGGTTGGATTTTTAATTTGCAGAACTCAAAATATTCTTTCATCAATCAACTGAAACCAATGCTCTCATGTTTGCAACTGGAACTGTTCAAACTAATCCCTCCATGGTAAAATTCTGGAGATATATATAAAAGAAAAAGGTATCTTGAAATATCACACATTGTATACAAACAGATATTTTATTGCCATCAGTGCTCTTGAGATAAAACTGCAAAACAGTCAGAGTTTACATTTATTTTAATTGCAGACAACAGCCTGAGCCACACTGAAAACAACCTATACCTATATAAATACATATAATCCTTTACATTGCACCCTGAACACTGAAAATGCAGGGGAAATAACTTAGTAATCACCTACCACTTATTTTAATAATGAGCCTTTGGAATAAAAACCAGAAAAAATAATGCCAGTCATAAACTATTTTGACATGCTTAATGTGAAAGAGTACAAACATCAGAAACTATTACAATTGATTTTTAATTAATTGATTGATTTCAACACTTATTTACAGCAATCTTTAAAGCAGCTCTCCAAGAACACGTAAGAATAGAATAATGTTTTTATTGTTGTAATTTTAAAACTGCAGGGGTTTCTGCTGGAAAAACTCCTTCAATTCCAAAATGGCTCAGTGAAATATGGCACTTGTACAACTCCTGCTGGAGCAGGGGCTTTACAATACCAAAAATTTCCCTAGCATCCTGCAACTGGAGCTCTCCTTTATCTGCTGTAAAACACTCATTGTAGTTCACTCTCCCACCCTTAATTTACCCTGCCCTTCTCCCCAGCCTGTGCCATATGGGAGAAGCTGCCACAGTGTTTTTCAGAGCACTGTTACAGTCCCTATAAATGCAAAGAACACACAAAATGTTGTTTCTCTAATACCATCTCTATGTGGTACCAAGAGCTCTTCATGAGCCCTCCCCATGTGAAAGATGCACTTATCCACATTTCTAAGGAAAACAGCTGCTCAAGACCACACAAATATCACAAATATCTCATGTGTTCCATGCTTTGCTGCACTTCTTTCTCAACCAGGAGCTTCAAACTATTTCATGTGACAATATACCAATGCTGACAACTTCTGACAATGCCATTGTAAGAATTTCTCCAATTTTATTCATCTGAAGTCATGATACCTCTACTTACAGACACAATACCTCTACTTACAGACAAGACAGCTACACCAACAGGACCTGCTCCTGTCTGACGTAAAAGTGGTATTTAAAATACTGAAAAGGACTTGAAAGAATTTGGTGTCTGTGGAAACAAAAAGCAACCTGAGAACATTTTTCCTATTCCCAGTCCAATGTCTGCACAGCAGCTTTCAAGTGGCTCTGCTGCTCTCCAAACACACATCCAAATATCTGTGCTACATTAAAAAAAACCCTGAAATAATGGATAATGATGGTAACAAAAATTATTTAAAACGAGTCAGCTTAATTGAGCTGCCTTTTCAATACATGACTTGAAGACTCACTTATACTGAAATTTATAATGAATTGCACATACAGCTGAACATTTACATTAAGACTCAATTAATGTGCCAACAAAAAGTCATTGCAGGTAGATAACCCAAACTTATATTGAACAGAATACTTCAAAAAATTGAACAGTTACAGCAACACACTTTAAAATTGAAAAAAAAGGCATATACAGACCTTCCAGTAGTCAGATTGTAAACTGTAGTACCTCTGGTATGCAGATAATGCTGTAGGGAAGAAAAATGAATGTTCAATTTGTTTTGTTTCATTTTCTTTGAAGAAAAAGATAAAAATCCTTAAGAGTCAGAATACACAACATTAAAATGATAAATGGTTTAATAAAAGTAACACTGCCATGGTAAGTACACTGTTGTGGGCAATGCATTCCTTAAGATTATAATTTTGTTTTATGAAATGTCAACCCAGAAGTATATTTATTATTAATCTTACAAATGTAAATCAAGCAATATTTTAAAGAAAACCTATAACAAAGAAATAATTCGAAATTTTGGTATTTTCATCCTGGACAAAGCTGTTCTAAGATTTAAAAATTTAATCATGTAGCTCATTTACCACGCTCCCTGATGCCCTGTAATTTCTGAAGAACTGGTGAGGAGGGACATACAAAGAGAAATCAATTTCACATGGCCTTTCATTCTGAGAAACAAAAGCAAGCAGAAAAAAGAAGAAAAGCTTACATTTTATTCCACAGCCACGGCCAAGACTAACCTGGAAATCAGTGCTAAGAACAGCTCTGTTCAATAGAATATTAGTTCTACTTAGCAACCAATTTCTCCAATCACCACTCCTGCATCCCTCTTCCTCACTAAAGGAAAAATTCGGGTTGATTCATCTTGCCCTTGGGCTAAGAGGCCACCTCGGACTAGAACACAAACAGGCTTTGCTTTTTTCTAAGAACACAGCACTAGGAACCATCAAAAATGAAGCATTTAAAGTAAAGATTCACTGCAGTAACACCAAGACACTGATTTTTCAAGTGTTTGCTCCCCAGGATTTAAGAATGGAAAATACACAATGTGTGGAAACCAAACAACAAAAGAAGACAGCTCCAGCTTTGGAAAACCATAAGCACTAAACAGATTAAGACACAAGAACAACAATCTGTACTTTAGGTGCAGCTTCATCTCCTGCAAGCACCATGGATAACTCATGTCCATAAATGTTATCAACCTTCAATACCTGTCTTGCATATTCATTTTTGTAACTTGACCAAAGTTCTTGTGCTTAAGTGAAATAAGAACATTCACATGATGGCAAAGACACAGAACCTCTGCACTCCTCTGTCTACGGAGACTCACAATCTTTATCTGTAAACAGACACATGCTGATCCATGCCCCTCTCCACCAAAATGCTTGTGAGACCAATTTCTAATTTTAATGTTCGAAACTGTGGTTTATTTAGATGCCCAGACTAGAAAAATGAACTTAGAAGACTCATTGATCACACATTATTAACATGCAATGTACTTAAAATGATGTAACTCAGACAAACAAAATCACTTAAAAATCTAATCTAACTAATCTTAGTCTTTCACAATTTAAGAACACAATTCCTCCTCCAAGCCTCCCCCCCCCCCCCCCAAAAAAAAAAACCAACCTGGTACAAACTGAAGAGTATTACTTCAGTCTAACAATATAAGTTGAAGAATGTTAAAACTAAGCATATTTTAGTCATATTCTGTAATTATGTTTTAAAGGATTTTCACAGTAAGACAAAATAACATCCTACTCCCCCCCAAAAGTCCTTCTAGATTCAACTTCTCCCAGATATCATTAATAAATTTTCAACAAAAAGGAATAATTATCTTCTGAGCATGGCCATGACTTAGCTTTCCCCAACAGGAACATGCACATGCACTATGAAAGAGTTTTGTAATGCATCACATCACAAACAAAATGAGGTTTTTCCTTTTACTCAAGCAGTACCTATCCCAATTTTAAGGGCTGAAGTACATTTCAAATACTCAGGTCAACAGGACCATATTATGCAAGATTCAAGAAACTGACAACTTCTTCTAAACTTTTTTTTTTTAACACAACTACTGCAGTCAACTATGCAGGGGATATGGATAAAAAGATTAAAAGAACATCAAATATAATGCTAAGAATTATACTGGAAAAATAAAAGGCAGAACACTTTCACCATAGCTGTTAAAAAATATAAGAAGTACCCACATGAGCATATCCATTAAAAAGGAGAGGTGGAATATGCTTACCTATAGCAGTTAAGGCACTGCTAAGTAAGTTTATAAAATGTCAACAGTATTAAAAAACTACATAAATAAACAGAATACTTTAAAGAGAAAGAATGGAAAAAAGAAACTTGCTCTGAAAAATCCTAACATCTCCATTTAACATGGAGGGAAGTTATTACAGAAAGGAGTCTTTTGCTCCATGACATTCCATCAGTTTTCTTTAAGAAAAAGGATATTTGGCTGTGACTTTCTTTTCTAACTCTTCCATTCTTCAATAAAGTTCAGCAACTTCCCACAGGAACAGCTGAAGTGATCATTTAATGTGCCAAGCTCAGTTTCAATTAAAAACAAGCACATGGGAAGCGTGGACTGCTGAAATCTATTTATATTTACATGCTAAGAAGATGAGGCCTCCATTCTAAGGAGCCACATTTCTCTTCCAGAGGAACAAAGAGGACAATTCAGTCCTCCTCAGTGTCTGAAGTGCCCAATCCTCCTGGTGGCTTCAGGGATCCAGCCTGTTCCAGGCTAACAGTATTCCCTTGCTGCTTCTTGCACATGAAATGCTAAAATTCCCAGAGTTCTTCTAAAAAAGGGGTGAATCATGGAGGGTTCCATTAAGCCAGAGCTAAATGTCCCTTTCCACCTCAGGAAAGTCAGACAACTAAAAAGTGTCACCATGAACACTTTCAGTATTATCAAGTGCTCAACTTACAGTAAGTTAGCTCTGAAATCTGATTTCAGCCCCTTTTACAACTACATTGAACACTACATTAAATATCTGCTCCATGAGCACTCGAGCTCTGCTGAAAAGGATTAAAGGAAGAGAAAAGCAGAAAAAAAAAAAGATTCAAGAAAATGTTCTTTTTGAGAGAACCCACATGAAATACTCCTAATCAAGCATAACGCTAAGAAGAATCTTGCATATGAGATGCCAGAAATCAAAATATGAAAGCAAGATTTTTGAAAAACTGAACCAACCTAGATATGAAGGAAAACATGAACCATAAATTTTGAACCCTGTAATATTTCAGAGTCCCTGAGTGAGTCACCAATAAGCATATATTTATTCTAAATTTTATGGTGTAGAAATTAGTACCTTATCTAAAACCAGTACTGTGGAACTACAAGCAACTTTTCCCTTAAATTAACTTTGTATCTACAAGAAATAAGTGCAAATCCCTCAAAATACAAACTTTATTCTAAAATAAGAAAAAAAAAAAAAAGAGCAACTGAATCTGCAGAGCCACAAGAATTTTACCCAAGTCCCTATCTGTAACAGAGGGTGTGCTTTAGCAGCGTTATGATTCTGACTGTAGGATGGTATTCCCTGGTTTATTCAAAAGCAAAAAATCCCTGTTACTTGGGTCAAGCAGCACATTAGTAGTAATAAAAAAAATACCAAAACCAAGAACAAACAAAAATGAACAATAAAAAAAATCCTAACACTAAAGGCTGAAATATCACTTTGCACCTTTACTTTTCATCCAAGATTGGTCATTCCAAAGTGAGACAATTTTTGTCACAAAGATTCTATCAACTACTGCCCCTCTTTCAACACAGGGTCAACTCTCATTTTTACACATTCAAGTGAATTATCCCATTTCAGTTATGATGTCTGTCTTAAACATTATAAAATGAGTGCTTTGAAATCACTCTTAGGCACAGCAGGATTCTGCAGACAATCTTTTGATTAGGAACTCACTATTTGAGCTTTTTCAATTTAAAACTTTGCCACTGAAATTCTTCCACATATGGAATTGTATAAAGACAATAAAGAACATAAAAACTTCTTTTTTCCCTGCATGTGAAACACGCACAAACATCCAGAAAATGCATGTCTGGACTCAAAGAACAGGACAGTATCAACAGCAGGACAATGCCTCTTGCCTCATCCTCAACTACTTTTTGTAGTCAACCACAGAAAGCTTTTAAAAGCACAAAACTGACAGACCACATTCAGACACCCAAAACAATACTCAACAGTTACTAAAAGAAGTGTTCAGTTACCTATTTCCCTCCTTCTGTCCTTTATTTCACTTCTTTATCAGTTGATGCTCTTGCTATGAACACCCCTCTCCAAACCTGGCCATGTATATTATTTTTCTAACAGTTAATCCTTGTGATCATGTTCCTGAAAACCCTGTGAGTGGCAGATCCAGCATTCACCACCCTCCCCAGAGGGGGGGACATGGATACCCCAAAGCTATACACAGCTTTTCAAGTCCATCACCACCAGCTATATTGCTTGATGAAAATAAAATGTTTACCTGAAATAGCTCTGAAAAGCAAAACACCACCCTTCTAAAAGAATTGCAACCATTGAACAGAGAGAATGCTCCTGAGCTCAGGCTCTCTTCAGAATCTGTCTGTAAACCTCAGGCACCTCATGCAGAGCTGACCCTCAATGAGTTCACACACTGGGATTTCACTGGTTTCCTCTTACAGGTTTTTGCAGTCACCCAGAACTACCCCCTTTGCAATATGTATGGTTACATCAATCCTGACACACTTTATTATGTGCCCCCTAAGAGTTTGCCTTCCTCTCCTACTATGATAGGACCAAGGGCCATGTCAGAAGCAGGACATGGATAATACTTGTTCCTTATTCCTCCCTGTTTAAGATTCCTTGGTATCATGCAGAGAAAAAACACCAAATTTGACTTAATTACCACATATGTAGTTTCAGGTTTGTTTTTTTTTTTTCCATCCACTTTATTTCATAGGATGTTGGTAAAACTTAGTTTCAGTAGTAAGATAAGACAATCTCTCTTTGTATCCAGAATCTACATACTTGACCTAAACAAACAAGGAAGGTGACAGTGGGGAGGAAAAATGTCTAGACTGAGTGACAACCACCCACTTGTCACCTCTAGCACATTTCATCACAAATCATGCAGTCAGAGGATGGCTTTTATGATCTGCTCTAGTAAATCCACTTTATGACACCTTAAAACTTAAGAGGCCTTCAAAGTGATACAAACATGGAGCAGTTGGAGTGTTTTAGTGCT